TGTGCATTGACCCCCCCCCCCCCCCCTCTTTTCCATCTCAATTTTTAGAAAAAGGTGCATGTGGTACTTGAGCAAATATGGTACAGTGTATCTCATGGCTCAGTGAAAATGACTCCCTCAGTCATTTGTATTCTGTGCATGTATACAAGAATTTGTTATCAAAATACAATGATGTCCAGGTTTGTGATGCACACAAAATGTGTCAAAAATTCAAATTGGAGTATTAAGCAAAACACTGCCATGGTAAAAATTTGGTTCATCAATTAAGTGAAGTACCACTTTATTTTTAGAAATTGAGAATTCAAGGTACATAATCTAATCACAAAAAGTCTCAATATGACAAATTTGTTTTTTGGTCCCTGAAGCTCAACAGCCAAAATATTGTTTGAGTTTTCTTTGACTTGCCTAAAGTGGGGAGCTATTTTTGCTGTCACCCCACAGTAGGTGCACACCAGGGTCACAACTGGAGCATATGGAATATTCTGGGGGTACAAGTGTGCACTCCTGTAGAGAAAATTTTGCTACCATTCCAGGGTTACATTTGGTGCACAAATGTGACATGACAGGAGTATCACACATATGCACCAACTGTAACCTTGGCGTAACTTATTTGTTCACAAATGTGACCCTGAGTAATCCTGGTGTGAACACACAATTGGGGATATGCATGTGCAACAGAAGAACTTTGGTACACTTCAGGTGCACAGCAGGGTCACTGTGTAGAATTACAAACAAATCTCCAGNGTACACTTCAGGTGCACAGCAGGGTCACTGTGTAGAATTACAAACAAATCTCCAGGGTGCACCAATTTTCCCACTTGGTGAATTTTGATTATACCTGCAAATAATTTTTTCCTGTCTGCAATGATTTTGTTGTGACAAGGTTTTACTGCACAGCACTATACTGTATTGTTAAAGCTCAGGGACAAATCATTGACAAAGGAATATCAACAAGTGTGAGGAGAAGTGTATAGTATGAATCCTGAGAAAAAATAAGATTTGCACTTTCTGGGTGGACAGTTTATTAAGCTTGCATACTTCTTTTGAATTTGTTCAAAATACTGTATACAACAACAAATTGATTGAACAGCTTTGATCAACCCTTCAAGTGTTGCAGTCTCACATTTGTTTGCATCACAGTTCCTTATAGTTACTCTTATTCATCCTTTTGCATATTTATTGTAACAATATTTAAAAATACAGTACAGTAGTGTATATTAAGCATATACAGTAGCAGAATCAAAGTAATGTTAGTAATCCCTCATTTATTTCCCAGACTCTCCTTTTATGGAGCTACTGTACTATTGCCAACTATAAATAACCAAGTCATCACTTGGAGATCCTCCTCTGAACCCTTGGGATCTGATAAATAGGCTGTATGCCAGGAGACATCATTTGTGGAGAAGGGGGTTGAGGTATTGCCATGGGTGCTCTCTGCTGGAGAGGCATTTGTGGTGCAGGTGGCAATTGAATTGGCTGTGATGGTGGTGGGGCTGGACGCTGTAATGGAGCTGGAAATAAGGCACCAGCAGGAGGTACCATTGCTGCTGCTGGTGGGGCTCTAGGTGGATTTTGGAAGATATCTGCCAGGGGATCCGCCTTTGCTGCTAGTTCTGCTTTCTTGTTGTCCTCTGCTAGTTTCAAGTGTTGATCCACTAGAAGGTCCAACTATAATGGGAGCAAAGCAAGGTTTGTGCAATTTGGGGGTTATTCAGCACAAAATTTTGGTGAATATGAATGATTACAGCATTGCTGTATATCCACTTAGGCATCATGTGCACATTCACAAACAATTTTAGAGCAAGGGGGACAATTTTCAACTTGGGAATTTTCATTCTTTTTTTGTGTGTGAATTTACTGTTAGATGGAGATTTTTGGAACTATGCATAAAATCACTTTATCTTGTTCTTACATGATCTCTTTGTTGAGTGACTGGAGGAGCTGAAGGAGTTGTAGCCACAGTAGTAGTCTTCTTCTTTGTGGTGTCAAATCCAGAAACATCCAGGAATGCATCCAAGCTGGGTGGCAACATTGGTGGAAGTGGTGG